TTCTGCTGAGTGGTCTTCAGCTAAAACCATGTAGGCAGGAAGAGGGCACCTAAACCGAGCAGTTGTTCACCCTTTAACCTTCACTGTAATACAACTCACTTGCAGAACCTAAAAAAAAAAAATTCTGGGTACACCCAGCTGGCTCACTGTGTGGAGTATGTGGACTCTTGGTCTCAGGGTTGTGAGTTTGAGCCCCATGTTGAGGGTGGAGATTACTTTAAAAAAAAAAAAAAAAATCTGATGCTTCAGGTTATACCCCAGACCAGTTAAGTCAGAATATCTGAGGTGGGACCCAGGCATCAGGATTTCTTAAGGCTCCCTTGTTGAGGCCAACCATGACTTTCCGGGCCACTTCACAGGCCTGTGTAATTTCCTATCAAGAGACCTTGACAGAAGCTGCTGTGGTACAGGACTGAAAATACCTGCTCCCAAGAAGTCGGGGAGGTTCAAATCACCAAAGAAATCACTTTCATTTCAGCACTGGGATGCCAGAAAACAAGGGACTTAGCAGGGAATGGAATGGATTTTTTAAAATATGCTGGATGTGAAAGAAAGGTACTTCAAATAAAACTAGTGACTGGAGCTTCCACAATTTCAAATTTTGAACTTAGAAGAAGACTGGGGTGTTGCAAATGCTATCATTAGAGGGTAACAGTACACATACGTAGGTTTACCCTTGAGTGTGATGTTAAGAGTATTTTCTTATTGGGAGATTTTGTCTAAGTTCACAGATCTAATGAAGCTGAGACCTAGGTCTTTTCACAGGTTTCCTTTTTCCCTTTGCTATGGTCTTTGGCTGAGTTATGCCAAATATTAGGTTGTAGTAACATGTTTTTGCCTGGGGCAACACTTTAGGGGTTGGCTTGAGCTTTGTTTTTTATTTTGTTATGAGATGCCTGAAAGAAGATAGGAGTGTTCTTTTCACTGTTTTTCCTTTCATTGTTTTCACTTCTTTCCCTTCTGAAGAGGAAATTCTCTCCCCTTTATAGAAACAAGGAATGGGATGAAATTGTGACTCTCTGGTATTGATATTCTACCTGTTTTCCCAAAATAAATCCTCCTTTTCGCTTTACTAGAGCTGTGAATATTTTCAGCTTAGAATTTTTTTTTTTTAAAGATTTTATTTATTTGACAGAGAGAGAGAGATCACAAGTAGGCAGAGAGGCAGGCAGAGAGAGAGGGAGAAGCAGGTTCCCCGCCGAGCAGAGAGCCTGATTTGGGGCTCAAGCCAGGACCCTGAGATCATGACCTGAGCCAGAGGCAGAGGCTTAACCCACTGAGCCACCCAGATGCCCCCAGCTTAGAATTTTAATTATTATACTCATTAATAGAGTTTGAAAATGTGTATTCTTCCTTAACTCTCATTATAAAACTGCTTTCTGGTAGAACGAGCTGTGACAGTGCTGCTTGTAAGTGGGAGTATCATTTGAGATTTCATGCCTGCTGGGCCAGAATCCTTTTTACCTGTAATACTTTCTCCACTAGTCACAATTGGATCTTTCTAGGTGGCATGCAAAATTTGATGTTACATTACCTGTAAAAAGGTAATGCAAAGAAACCTGTTAGTTCTTATCAGTCATGGTGATCGAGCTAGATGCTGTAGAAGAAGGGAGTTGTGTTCACAAGGAACTTGTAGGTGAGTCCGGGAGGCAGCATCACTGGGAATCAGAAAGGGGATAAAAGCCAACATAGCTGTTTAATTAAGTGTGTACTACCTAGATCAGCAGGAAGCCGAAGCTCACCGAAAACTGCTACTTTAAACTAGAATGAAGAAGAGTTTATTCCAGTGGTACTTTCTGCAGTTGAGGTGTTTTGCTCCCAAAAATGATATGTATAAGTTGAATTCTCCCCCCCCGCAATGGCAAATTTGAAAACCATTTTTTTTTTTAATATTCCAGTATAATTAACAGTGTTACATTAGTTTCAGGTATACTGCAAATTGAATTTTTATTTTATTCTTTAAAGATTTTATTTATTTGAGTGAGAGAGTGTGAGCACAAGTCAGGGGAGGGGCAGAAGGAGAGGGGGAAGCTGGCTCCCACCTGAGCAGGGAGTCTGATTTGGAGAGGGCTCGATTCCAGGACCCCGAGATCATGAGCTGAGCCAAGGCAGATGCTTAACCAACTGAGCCACCTAGGTGCCCCACAAATTGAATTTTTAAAAACTTTTTCAGTTTTAAGAGCTCCTTTTTTTTTTTTTTTTTTTTTTTAAGTAATCTCTGTGTCTAATGTGGGGCTTGAACTTATGACCCTGAGATCCAGAGTCACATATTTCTACTGACTGAGTCAGTCAGGCCCTCCAGCAGCTCATCGTTTAAAGTTCTGAGGATGAATCTTTTGCTAAAAGAACACTTAAAAAATATATATATATATTTTATTTATTTATTTGACAGGAGAGAAGGGGAGGGAGGGAGCACAAGGCAGGCAGAGAGGGAGAGGGAGAGGGAGAAGCAAGCTTCCCGCTGAGCAGGGAGCCTGATGCGGGGATCCATCCCAGGACCCTGGGACCATGACCAGAGCCGAAGGCAGATGCCCAACGACTGAGCCACCCAGGCGCCCCTAAAAGAACACTTTTTAAAAAAATTAATTTTAAAAGTTTTTATTGAAGTGTAGTCGGCATACAGCGTCACCCTAGCTTCAGGTGTGTAATGTAATGACTCGACACATCTGTACGTTGTGTGCTCGCCGCAAAGAAGAACACCCACTTTAAACGAACTTAATCTGGATTTTCATGCTTTTATGTTTAAACATCATGTCTCTAGAGTCTGAGGTATGTATTTATTTAGAGGTGTGAACTATTAATGATAATTTAACCTGACGTTTAAAGGCATCACTGTTTCTCTAGAATTATAGGGTGTGAAGTTATGTAATACTCAAGTCAGTGACCCTGAGACTTGAGACAGTTTGAACCCTGTATTGTGGTTTCTTATTGCTTTACCTTCTCCTTCCCCTATATTTAGTATAGCATTATGTGTGGGAAGTAGCAAGAATAGCATGAGTCTTCTATAGCATTCTGAATAGCCCTTAAAGGTTGTTTTTTAAAAAAATTTCTAAAGAGCTTGTTGGACAAAGAGTAAATGTTTGATAGAGTTAGATAATAAAGTCTGGAACTATGTTGCCATTTTAACTAAATCACATCTCACCTACCTGGACTTCCATTACCTATCACATAATCTAGAGTCTAGAATGTGCTTAAGAATCAGGACAAGGGGTAAAAGCTCACTGGTTCCAAACACTATAGCTCTTATACCTTTGCATGGGAAAGTGCCTTGAGTGCTCACTGAAAATATATTTTCATATGTACTTCTGACCAGCTTGGTTATCCGGTTGCTGAGTCTGCAGTAAAAAAGGAAACTGGTTGCTGAAGGTGAGTATAATGTGAGCAGTGGTGAGAGACAGGAGGGAAGAGACAGGAGGAAAAAAAAGGCAGTACATTAATTTCCAGTCATTTAGTGGAGTGACAAATAGCCCTTACGCCCTGGAAGGTCATTACCGTTATCCAGTCATCAGAAATTGTGTTTAGTATTTTCATTTTGAAAAGATAGGATCACTGCTTTTTAAAAATAGTTTTTTAACATCAAAGTGATGTATTTATAAAGAGTTTGGACGGTAGAGAAAAACTCAAGAAAATAGATTTATACAAGTTATATTAAACCCTAGAGCTTCAGTGGGCATTTTGATGTTTTCCCAGTCACTTTTTCAAAATAAAATTTATATGTGCCATAGTTTATTATGCATGGCGACAAATGAGAGAACAGACGTTTAATGAAATTAAGTAATTTGAATTTATATTCTGTTTGCTAAATGATAGCTGGGAAAATCTCCCTTAACCTGTAGGACGGTGCTATCTAGTACAGTGATCACCAGGTGAAGATTGCCAGAATACAGGGTGCTCAGTCAAGTTTGAATTTCAGATAAACAGCAAACAGCTGTGCTGGTGTGAGCATATCCCACATGTTGCACAGCCTGTACTTCTGTCCAGTCATTTTTCTCTGTGTGCATGTATCTCTGTTTCAGTGTTACGTGGATTTTTTTTTTTTTTTACAAAATTGGGTTCATATTGTATCTTTTCCTTTTGCTTAATGATGTCACAAGTTTCCCCATTTCCAAGTACTCTATGAAAATACCAGAAATTACCTTTTCAAAGAGCTTAAAATTTTAATGCTTCAAAGAATAATCTGTCAAAACCACAGTGAGATATCCTCTCACACCTATTAGAATGGCTGTTATAAAAAAGACAGGAAATAATATGTGTTGGTGAGGATGTGGAGGAAAGGGAACCCTTGTACACTGTTGGCGGGAATGTAAATTGGTGTAGCCACTGTGGAAAACAGTATGGAGGGTCCTTGAAAAATTGAAAATGGAACTACCATAATCCAGCCATTCCATTTTGGGTATTTATTTGAAGAATATGAAAACACTGACTCAAAAATCTATACATTCCCTATGTCCACTGCAGCATTATTCACAATAATCAAGATAGGAAAACCCAAGTGTCATTGGTGGATGAATGGATAAAGAAGGGGGGGTAGGTGCATGTAACGGAATACTACCCAGCCATCAAAAAGGAGGAAATCTTGCCATTTCTAACAACACAGGTGGACCTTGAGGGAATTATGCCAAGTGAAACAAGTCAGGCAAAGAGGGAAGAATACTGTATGATCTTACTAATATGTGGAATTAAAAAAAAAACCAAAAACGAACAAAGTCATAAAGCAGATTGCTGGTTACTAGAAGGGAAAGGGATAAGAGGAGGGGTAAAATGTCTGAAGGGGCTCAACCGTATGGTGATGGATGGGAATTAGACTTGTGATCACCTTGTAGTGTATACAAATGTCGAATTATAATGGACACCTAAAATTCATTAACCAGTTTCATTCCTTAGAAGGATAATCTCAGTTATTTAGGGCAAATGTACTTCTCCAGATTGGCATTCCCTGAAGTTCCCAGAGAGCCCAGGTTCCACTCAGCTTTAAACTGTGGTCCTGTGTTCCTTTCCAGGCGGGTGCCACATCTATGTGGGCTTCGTGCTGTGGACTGCTGAATGAAGTCATGGGAACAGGAGCTGTCAGGGGCCAGCAGTCAGGATTTGCAGGAGGCACCGGTCCATTCAGATTTGCACCAAACTCTGATTTTTCCGCTTACCCACCAGCACCTACGGAAGGGCCCAATATAGTTTGCAAAGCCTGTGGACTTTCATTTTCAGTCTTTAGAAAGAAGGTAAGTTGGATGAAATGTTATATACAAAAGACACATTACTTAATTATATGTTGAATGCTAACGAATCATTTCTTTTCATTAAAATTACCAAAAATCATTAACCATTTCCCATTCAGAAAAGTACTTAACTGGGGGTGCCTGGGTGCACAGTCGGTTAGGTGTCTGCTTTTGGCTTGGGTCGTGATCTCCAGGGTCCTGGGATCGAGCCCCACATTGGGCTTCCTGCTCAGCGACGAGTCTGCATCTCTGCCTCCCTCTGCCCTTCCCCCCCCACACACTCATGTTCTTTTTCTCTCTCAAATACATAAATAGTATCCTTAAAAAAAAGTACTCAGTTGAAGGGACTGTATTACTGTTCAAATGTTCTGTGTTTCACATGTTGCTCAGGCATCTTGTCTTCTGAGCTCTGTATACTTTGATTCTTCCTGATTATGCTTATGTTTTGGAACAAGAGATTTAATTAGTCTGCAGTTTTGTTCAGAGATGATTTATTATAACTGACCTCAGGTTTCAAAAAATGTATCCCTACCAACATTTTTTTTTTTTTTTTTTTTTTTTTTTAAGAGAGAGCATGAGAGGGGAAAGGGTCAGAGGGAGAAGCAGGCTCCCCACTGAGCAGGGGGACTTGATACCCAGACTCCGGGATCATGACCTGAGCTGAAGGCAGTCGCTTAACCAACTGAGTCACCCAGGTGCCCCCTACCCACATTTGTAACCGGAAGTGAAGAAATTAGTGAAAGGCAACCACTGTGTAGAGATTCAGCTTAAAACACTTGGGCTAAAACAGTTATTTTCTCTAAGACAAAAAGTCATTTTTTTCTGAGATCCAGTCTCAGAAAATTACGAGGCTGTCTCACAGTCATTGATGTCAGTTCAGTCCTCCTAAGTACGGCAGGAACAAGGTGTTCGCTTGTGGGAACAATGCGGCGAGCAGAAAGGACCACAGCTGAGTGTCGTCTTCGAGCTTTACTAGTGCAGTGACTCTGAGCGTGATGAAGGCTCAGTCGGATACAGATGACTGTACTAGTGAGATCCTCTGCTTTGAATGACCTTGAGAGATAATTTGCCCTTCTCTTTCCCTCTGGTCTCCCTGTCCACCCCGCCAACCCCAGCTTCAGCTTCTCTTTCAATGGGGAAATTGTTGACCTAGGAAAAGAGTAGGAAGAGTTTGTGGTTGTGCTTTCTGCTCCACGTGGTTCAAGTCTTCTCTGTTCTGCTAATTACATGTTTGCGCCAAGGGGTGGAAAGGTTTTAATTCACTAACACAAGAGTGTATGTTTTTCTTAAAGGGCTGTATTTGAACTTCTGTGCATCCAAACTGCTTCAGCAGAGCGTGTTTTGATTTTTGTGGCTTTTGGAACACGAAGGTGGCTGTGAGAGTAGCCAGGGGCCCTGGGAGACTTCATAAGTTAGAAACTAAAATTGAATTTCAGTAGAAGGCAAAAAGAACACTAGTGCTTTCACAGTGGCCTGTGTCTGGCTATCATTAGCTGCTGCTTTTCTTTCTGTTTTCTTTAGCATGTGTGTTGTGACTGCAAGAAGGATTTTTGCTCAGTTTGTTCGGTCTTACAAGAAAATCTCCGTAGATGTTCCACGTGTCACTTACTACAAGAGACGGCCTTTCAGCGCCCTCAGTTAATGCGACTAAAAGTCAAGGATCTCCGGCAGTATCTCATTCTTCGAAACATCCCAATCGATACCTGTCGAGAGAAAGAAGACTTGGTAGATTTGGTACTCTGCCACCACGGCCTGGGCTCTGAGGATGACCTGGACACGAGCAGCCTGAATTCCTCACGGTCCCAGACTTCTAGCTTTTTTACACATTCATTTTTTTCAAACTATACAGCCCCTTCTGCTACCATGTCTTCATTTCAGGGAGACCTTATGGGTGGAGACCGGACCTTAGGATCTGGGGCGCTGGCACAGGTACGAGGGTATAATTATGCCAAGGGCCTGGCACTGCTAGTTGGCCATATAGGGTGGGACCTTTAGGGCTTCAGAAACCCCCTGGGAGCAGAGGTACCACACGCTGCTGAACGCTGTGCGTGCAGGCTCTCCCGCTGTGAGTCTCTGAGCCGAGGTGCTGGGTAGCTCCAAAGTCAACTGTCTGAAGCTCATCGGTCTCTTGACTCTAGTTACTTCAGTTTCTTCCTAAGTTAAATAGTAACTGCTGAAGGAATGACTGTGGAAAGTAGTGTATAAATGTTTGCAAGATTATTTGTCTGTGACAGTGGACACAATAGTGTAAGTAAACCTAATGCCCAGTTGGCTTGCTACAGTAAAATTGTTCCAACTTAGATAATGGGAAAAAGCCATCTGAATTAATCAGAGTGTGATTATCTACTAATTTCAAAGAAATGCCAGGGCAGAATATTGTCCCCGTGCGTCAGGGCATCCTGATTGAATAACACACAAGGGCTTGTAATTAATAATTCAGTTTGTATGTATGAATGATTCTGAAATGCCGAATGGATTGTTTTGAACAATTCTCTCCACATTTAATTCTCTTCCCTGAAGAAAGATGTTAAAAGCAGAGGGGAAGTCTCGCCTTCCAAATAGTCATAAATTAGAGAAGTTCAACCTGGGAGTTATATTATTTTCCCAAGTGAGATCTGGCATCACAGCCTTGCAAACACAAGACACATCTGACCTTTGTGCCACTTTTGGGTAGATGACCATTCTTGGAAGGTCAGGGTCTTTGGGTGCTGCAACGTGGTGCTTCAGACCCAGTGCGGTGGAATATTGGAAATTGGGAACTGACCTAAACTATTGTAGAGCTCCAGTCAAAGTCTAAAGAGAAGGATATGGAAGAAGGTACATAACCCAAGTTGACGGTCTTTCTGTCCTTCATGAAAAAGAGCACCTCTGATCGTTGAGGAATTGCTAAGAACTAGAACTAGCATCAGCCATCAGCGAAGAGGTTTAGAAAGCATTCTTTGGAATCAGAATGTCTAGGTGCATTGTAGTAGGATTGGCGTCTTTCAGATCGAGTGGGCTGAACTTAGAGCTTTAGCTTCTGTCAGTATCTTCGAGGCTCCAGGTAGAGCAGCCTCGCACAGGGCCCTCGATGACGAAGCAGGGCAGCCGCATACACTGACGGCTTTGGCATTTCACGATGTGGCCTTTCTCAGGGAGTTAATACTCTGGTCAGGAATACACACATAGGAATTTTAAATATTTTATTTATTTATTTGACAGAGATCACAAGTAGGCAGAGAGGCAGGCAGGGAGAGAGGAGGAAGCAGGCTTCCTGCTGAGCAGAGAGCCCTGTGTGGGGCTTGATCCCAGGATTCTGGGATCATGACCTGAGCCGAAGGCAGAGGCTTTAACCTACTGAGCCACCCAGGCACTCCTACACACATAGGAATTTGGCTTCTGAGATATCTTCACGGCAGGTAAGTTGTTGATGAAACCATGTGGCGCCCAGCTCTTTGGGAGGAGCAGCAGTGTTCCAGGTCCAAGGTCATCATGGAGTACGCCAGGTGCTGGGGTCATTCTTGGGGAGGATCTTGGGAAGGATTTTTCTCAGTGTTGAACATTGACAAACAGGATGGATCCTGTTAGGAAAATAGGATTCCTGACCTAATCCAGTCGATATGTGTAGGTACAAAGTGAAATCGCTTCAGCAAACACTGAAGAGGAGGAGGATGAAGATGATGAGGATGAAGATGACGAGGAGGAGGATGAGGACGAAGAAAACTTGGAGGAGCAGGTGAGTGCTCCTGTAAAGTTCGCTTTCTTGACACGCCAGCCGGGCAGGCAGGGCAAGTGCCTATGTGGACTTTTGCTAGATTAGCCTGGGCTGTTTCTTCTGGTTTGAATGTAGCCTAATAGAGGCGGCACTTGAAGAACTGATGAGTCTGGGAGGAGTGTCCAGTGGCGACGGGAGGGTGAGGGGAGCATGCGGTTGCCCTCGCTGCTCGAGGTCTGTGTTTGCGGGAGCCGAGGTGATGGAAGCCCTCTGTGATCGCAGACGCCTGGGCTCTCTAAGAAGCGAGTAAGAGCTTCGCTGTCTGACTTGTCAAGCCTTGAAGATGTGGAAGGAATGAGCGTGCGCCAGCTGAAGGAAATCCTGGCTCGGAATTTTGTCAACTACTCTGGCTGTTGTGAAAAATGGGAGCTGGTGGAGAAAGTCAACCGGTTATACAAAGAGAATGAAGAAAACCAAAAGTCATGTAGGTTTCCTTTTTCTTTCTTCCCCCTATACTTTCCTTCTTTAGAGTTTTACAAATTGAGCTGTTTCGGTCACAGCGAAGTCACATTTTTTGAGAAAATTACATATCCTTTTATCGAACAAATTAGACGTCTGAATCGGTCGCTGTTAGGTAGTATGTTTATTATGTGATGTTGGCTCTGAGACTGCCATTGCCACGTGAGTTAAGTCATCATCTGTTCAGTCTGGTTTTCTTGCCATAATTTGTTAGAACCCTAATGAAATCCCTTGTCTCTGTAAAAATGCGTGCTTTCCCGCTAACTCTTCTGGCAGGCCAATACTTCGGTTCTCTCAATTGTAGCTTTTAAATCCTCACTGGAAAAAAAAATTCCCTAGAGGCAAAGAAGTGAAGTAGTTCTTAGCGCCAAGTATTAGGTTTCTGTGTGAGTTGGGGAAGCTGAGGTTAAGAATTCCTGATCTATGTATTGATGAGGCATAGAGTGGAAGTCCTTAGGGCCAAGCCATAGAGCGTTTATAGGCAAGAAAAAAAGATTTCAGTGGTGTTCAGACTGACAAATAAGTTCCTATCTATTTTGTTTGTTTTGAGAGAGAAGGAGCAGGGGGAGGGGTAAGGGAGAGGGAAAAGCAGACTCCCTGCTGAGCAGGAAGCCCCATGCTGGTAGATTCCAGGCCCCAGGATCATGGCCTGCTTCAAAGGCAGACACTCAACCTACTGAGCCACCCAGGCGCCCTATTATGTTCCTATCTAAACAGTCCTCCCATCATTAACTTTTATCATCTTGAGGTTTTTTTTTTTCCCCTTCAAATCTGGTTATAATACAGCAATTACTGATAAACACTTAGGTCCAGAGTATGCAGGAAGTATTTTGGCATACCCATTTCTAAGATGATACCACAAGGGTAGACACGGGAATCTTAATCATCAGAGCCTTCCCAGGCTGTGGCTGGGAAACGGTGTTCTGGCGGTGAGGGGAGAGGTCCGTTCGCTTAGTAAGCGTAGAGTGTGTACAACTGTGTGGGGCGCGCACTGGTGGTTCATGGCTGTTCCCACCCTCCGGGGGTTTATGGTAGAGGAGGCCAAGACACGCACGTTTGCCAAAGTGCCTTTTTCAGTTAGTTCACTGCTTACTCTGTCCCGGGTCCAATCTCCAGGCCTGTGGAAAACTCCCTTTTGTTTTGACCACAGCTGGAATCTTCCCTAGTTTGACTGGCTTCGGGCACTTCTGGCGTGATTCACCCCAGTAGCCTTTCCTAATAGCCTTGACAGACCCTGGCTCCTCTGCTTTCTGCTCAGAGCTTTTAAGAGTTGGAAGGAAACTTCCATGCAGGAGAGGAGACCACAGCCTAGACTCTGGTTTACTCAGGAGCCCTCCAGTGTCTTCTCTACTGGCCCATCTGTTGTCTTACCCTTTGAATCCTTTCTCCCCAGTCCCCGGTTTTTAAGAACGTCTGGACGTGGCATTGTTATTTCTCTTAAATTCAGAGACCGTTGGCCCTTCGGGGTTGAATTTCTGTTCTTTCTGACTGAAATCATGACATTCCCATCAATCCCCTCTACCACCTGTAAGAAGGGATGCCTCGATGTCTGTAGCTCCAGGACCAAATCTCAGGCTGACGTAAACTCTTGAAACTCTGAAGGAGTTTCTTATTCAGAGCTTGGATCTTCTCAGAACCTAAATCTGGGTCACAGAGCCAGGATGGCCTGTGTGCTTACAGTTAGGCAGACTTCAGCTGGCTTCTGAGATCCTCCTGAACTTTCCCCCAAGTACAGGCTACTTGATATACGACTCTTCAGAACTTTCCTGTTGGTGTGGAGATGAAGCTCTAGGGACTGACTTTTCCCAGGGCCATGCAGTTGGGTTGGAAATCCCATTCATGTGCTCTGACGCCCAGGTATAGGACAACCTTGGGTTTCTTCATTTGTACTTATAGAGGTAATCTCTCCTTATCATGTAAACTTTGAATTACAGCTATCAAATAGAAGTAAGTAGCTAACATTTGTTGGGCCTTTCCTACCTGGCCATAAGCTAAGCATTTCTCATTTCTTCTTCACAAAACTTCACGAAGTGTGGGCATCCTTATCACTGCCATTTCTAGTGGAGGGACCGGAAGTGCAGAGAAGCTGGGTTATGTCTCCTACAGCCCCGGGCTCGTGCGGGGCTTAGCGCCCGTCAGGCAGTGCGGTGCCCGCAGCCCCAGCTCTCTGTTGCCTTTCAGATGGTGAGCGGCTGCAGCTGCAGGATGAGGAAGATGACCGCCTCTGCCGCATCTGCATGGACGCCGTCATCGACTGCGTCCTGCTCGAGTGCGGGCATATGGTCACCTGCACCAAGTGCGGCAAGCGCATGAGCGAGTGTCCCATCTGCCGGCAGTACGTGGTGCGCGCCGTGCACGTGTTCAAGTCCTGAAGCCCAGGCGCCTCCCAACGGCACACTCGCCCCCAAGCTCCATCCCAGACATTTCAATGTATGGAAGCGACTGGAAACTTAACTGTTCAAAGGCTGAAAACTATTTTTAAAAATTATTTTCACTACTAACTGGGGACAGAAAGCTCCCTCCTAAGTGGTGGTGACGTTGGTCTGTGCCATACGCCTGCCAGCCCGTGGCTGTGCCAGATTCGCAGGTCCCGGGGGCTCCATCCCGTGTCCGAGTGATCGCTGATGAAGTTAGACTGCTTGTGGCATCAGCTGTTGCTCTCTTTGAAGAACAGTTATCCTGTTCTCTTATTTCTCCTTCATCCTATTTTTAACTTAAACTACTCAGATGTTTGAAACTTCTGTTCTCTTTGGATGACATCACTGTCCACAAGTGGCCCACATGTACACACTGAGCAGTGGCCCCTCTGAATGTTCACTTTATTAGTCATGTAGATTTTAAATGCTACTATTTGATGAATGTAAGTTTCCACATTGTTGCTATTTCTGCGTTTAAACATAACTGGGAACAACCGACAGTCTGTAGTCAACTTGCCGGGGCCTTAGACTCGACATGTCCGTTTCTGTTCAGGTACAGCTTTTTAGAGCAAGGGCTGCATCTAGCTTCTTTTCGTTAGAGAAGTGTGTGTGTGTTAAATCCTTTATTAATGTGTAATCAGTTTACACTGTTTTGTATAGTGAAAGTGTATTTTCAGTGCTACCGCTAGCTAATTTGAACTTTACGAATAAAATTAGATTTTAAGAAATGCTTTTGCTTACATTGTCCTAGTCCGTTCCTAATTCACTTGGGTACAGCACGAATGGGTGTCTGTGCCTGGTCTGGCACCCTTCTTCACAGGAGACGGGGAGCATCTTCAAAGACTTGCAGTCTTTGATCTACCTTTGCTGCTGACGTACCAGTAAGCTGAACCACAGACTTGCTGTCTCCTGTGACCAGGTATTGTGCTGGGTGCTTTCTGGTTCTCTTTAGCATTCTGAAATCGGTTGCCTTGTTTCACAGATGGGGAACCTCTGAGAAATTAAAGAACTTGTCTAAAATCTTAGAAAGTTGCTGGGACACTTGGCTGGCTCAGTCGGAAGAACATACGACTCTTGATCTCAGGGTCATGAGTTGAGCCCCACGTTGGGGGTAGGGGTTTGGTTACTTAAAACTTGGGTGAATTATTTGGTATGTGACTATCTTTTAATAGAGCTGTTACCAAAAAAAGTGGCAATAAAATATTTGATACTTTAAAAAGGAAGTGGCTAACATCAGAACGTGAACCCGGCTCTGACACTAATTTTTTTTTTAATTCTTCCGCTATCACCCAGCAAAGAGAAACCAGACATAGGCTTATGCAGAACAGTTCCTAGAACATGAATGATCTGAAATCGCTTCACTTTCACATCTAACTCCAACCAGGGTGGTGTTTTGGTTGAAACCGACTGTGAACTGATTCCTTCAGCAGGTATGTTTTTAAGAAATGCCTAACTTCTCAGCCGGGTCCTGTTGGGTTTTATGTTTTTTTTTTTTTTTTTTTTTTGAAGATTTTATCTATTTATATGACAGACAGAGATCACAGGCAGGCAGAGAGGCAAGCAGAGACAGAGGAGGAATCAGGCTCCCCGCTGAGCAGAGAGCCCGATGCGGGGCTCCATCCCAGGACCCTGGGATCATGACCTGAGTCGGAGGCAGAGGCTTTAACCCACTGAATCACCCAGGTGCCCCGGGTTTTATGTTTTGACTCTGCAGTGGACAGCACAGATGCCTTTAAGTGCTCAGGATCCACAAGTCAGTCAACAAATCTGAAGATTATAGCAAGGGAGGCAGATAGTCTGCCCCCGGTGTAGGGAGAAAGTTGGCCTAGTTGTGAAGAAAAGCATGCCTTCCCGTGTCTCCTGGTTTTGAGGGACACTGCATGCAAACCCAGGCCTTACGGGTATTTCAAACAACTTTCTCTCCTGTTTGCCTACAGAGCACAGGGTGGGTGCTGGCCACAGTTCATGGTAAGCAGCCTGAGCGGATCCTTACCCCACCGCAGAAGCAATAAAACCCACCCCTGCTGAAGCGGTAGGAGCGCTTACCCGGTCTGTACCTCTCGTGAGACCGTGAACTCCAGAAATCCAACCTTAACCACAAACTGCTAATTCAGTGGAAAGAAGTCTTCAAATCCAGGCCAGCAGGTGATAGTAAACACAGAAATAGAAGCTGAGCAGAAGGTGCTGGTTTGTCTTAAGTTAGAAAATTGAGATTCATTTGTATGTGGCCTCAGCTTCAATAGCTCGTTTGGTGTTTCCTCTTGGATTTATAGAGGTTGTTTCAGGTACTTGTTTTTAGCAAGAGAACGAAAACTCTTAATAGTGGATTTTTAAAAGATTTTATTTGTCAGAGAAAGAGCACATAAGCAGGGGGAGAAACAGGCCCCCCACTGAGCAGGGAGCCTGATGCGGAGCTCGATCCCAGGACCCCTGGGATCATGACCCAAGCTGAAGCCAGACGCTTTACTGACTGAGCCACCCAGGCATCCCTTAATGGTGGATTTTTCAAGGTAGTGTTTTGAAGTAATCTTGGCTTAGTGAATAGCCGACAGAAATTTTTAGCCTAACAGACGTGACAACTCACAAGGTGCTGACTGCCTTGTTTGACAGAGGGCAGACATTTCCCCCTGCAACGTACATTTCCTAGCTGGCATGCTCTGGCTCCTGAAGCTTTTGAACAGGTCATACACGGATAAAGGTCTGAAGGTCCGCAGCAGAATACGAGGCTGTCCCCTTGCTCTTACCCTCACAACATGCAAGGATGGCATTCGATGCTTTGGACATGCCATGGTGGTGGTCATCCTTTGTAAACCCCAGGTTCCCCAGAGGAAGCAGGGATGGAGCGGAGCCTCTTTTCTGGATTAGGAAACTGCAATCTGATCCATGAAGCACTGCCTCTGGCTTATGCTCCTTTTTTTGCTTCATCAGTTACAGTCTAGGACTATTATTACTCTCAGAGCAACTATTTGTAAGTATTTAGCTCAGGCCTACCGCATCTAAAGCTCATTTTTGTTTTTATCTTTTTTTTGAAGATTTTATTTTTTATTTATTTGACAGAGAGAGATAGATCACAAGTAGGCAGAGAGGAGGGGGGGGAAACAGGCTCCCTGCTGAGCAGGGAGCCTGATGCGGGGCTCAATCCCAGGACCCTGAGATCATGACCTGAGCTGAAGGCAGAGGCTTAACCCACTGAGCCACCCAGGCGCCCCCATTTTTATTTATTTTTTTTTTAAGATTTTACTTATTCATGAGAGACAGGCAGAGGCAGAAGCAGGCTCCCATGAAGCCCAATGTGGGACTCGATCCCAGGACTCTGGGATCATGACTTGAGCGGAAGGCAGATGCTTAACGAATGAGCCACCCAGTGCCCCTTATTTTTATATATATATTTTAAATATATATATATATTTTCCTTAAAAATCTTAATTACTTGACAGAGAGAGTGGGAGAGCGCCAAGCCGGGGGATCAGCAAGGAGAGAAGCAGGCTCCCTGCTGAGTAGAGAGAGCTTGTGACACGAGTCTCCATCCCAGGATCCCAGGATCATGACAAACTGAGCCACCCAAATATCCCTAAAACTCATTTTGAAAAGTAACAGGTCTGCACAGAAACTGTACTGGGGTATAACCTAGACTGGCTTGTTCAGGGGAGCGGATATGCCGCCACTGCAGGATGGTGGCATGCCTCAGGCCTGGAGAGATCTGTGTCTTGGTTCTGAGGCGTGTCCCATGATAGCTTTGGCTCCCCAGCCCGGGCAGCCCTCTCTGCCTCCTCTTGGCAGACCTGCGAACTCCTGGAAACATTACAGGAGAAACGGGGCCCTCTGGCCCCAATGACTGTTCACCTGGAGAACACTGTTATTCTTTTTTTTTTTTTAAAGATTTATTTATTTATTTATTTGATAGAGAGAGATCACAAGTAGGCAAAGAGGCAGGGAGAGAGAGTGAGAGGGAAGCAAGCTCCCTGCTGAGCAGAGAGCCCGACGCGGGACCGATCCCAGGACCCTGGAATCACGACCCGAGCCGAAGGCAGCGGCTTAACCCGCTGAGCCACCCAGGCACCCAAGAACAGTTATTCTTAAAGCAATTCCCAAAGAGGCGGCATCAGGATAAGGCTTACTCGGAAGTTCAGGGAACTCAAGCTGGGGTCTGTGGGGTTGCTCCCCAGATGAACGAACAGGCTTGCAAAGGTAAGCCGTATTTTTATAAACCAACCATAGTGTTGGGGACCCTGGGTGGCTCGGTTGGTTAAGCATCTGCCTTTGGCTCATGATCTTAGGGTTCTGGGATCGAGCCCCATGTCAGACTCCCGGCTTGGCAGGGAATCTGCTTCTCCCTCTCCCTTTGCCCCCACCCCTGCTTGTGCTCGAATAAATAAAATCTAAAAACAAAACAAAACATAGTGTTAAACTAATCTTACCTCTGTAAGGTGCATCTCCTGAGTTAAATTCTGGTTTCCAGTTTGAGTTAAAGGATCTCTGTGTTTAAGCTAACAGGAGGCATGAGACTGGGTGGGATCTAAAACCATTTCGTGGCAAAAAAAAAAAAAAAAAAAAAAAAAAAGGAAGGGGGAGGCAACGAACTACTGAGGAAACGAGGTGGGTTATCTTCTCCATTTTCAGAATCAGTACAGCAGCAGCCTTATCTATGTGGGAGTAGAAGGTTGCAGGACCCTCTTTAAAAAAAATTGTGTGATCTAAAATGACTTCTCCCTGGTTTGTGTCCACCAGCTGGCGAGAGCCGCGGCCCTGGCCCAAGGCTCCCGAGAGCAGCGTGTGGCCTCCGGGAGCGGCTCCAGGGAGAGGCTGAGGAGCTGGACCCCCCTGCCCCCCACCACGGCAGTGGCAACACCAAGGGGCCATGGCTGTTACTTCACACAGGTGGACTCTGAGGCACCCGCACAGGTAAGCCACCTCCCCGAGGCCAGTGGGGCTGTGCCTTTCTTTCCCCCAAGGCCAGAAACTGCAGATGGGAAACCGCGGGCACCGTGGGGCCACTGCGGATCTCTGACGACTAAGGTAGTTTATACCAGTGTCGAGACTGCTGGCCCTGGACTTCTCAGTCAGCTTTCTAGCACCCCCCTCGAACAGAAACTCTCCAAGGCCGAGAGTGCTTTTTTGTACAATTGTTTATACAAATTCAACAAAGGTAAAACCGCATCAGGGAAGGTCTAGGAAAACAGCATCTTAACAACAATGGCACTTATGAAGGCATAACTTTACAACTAGGAAACAGCCGTGTTATAAGCCTTGAACGAGAACTCAACTCACTTCAAAGGAGAGAAAAAAGGAAAAGAAAGGCTATGTTGGATCATTTATTCTACTTCTTGACCCACTGTATAAATTAGATCCGTGTAGAATACAAGAGCTCATGCTGGCGCAAAACTCTCCTGAGTGCAAAGGCTGAAGTCTGAATTTTAACATTTTGAGAAATGGGTGAATTCTATACAGAGGAAACTTGGCAAAGTGTCTTACTTCGACTATAATTAACATATGTCCACATGCTTGTGTAATTCTTGACGACGTACAAAGCAGGCTCTCAACTTCCAGTTAAACATGCTTTTAATTGGAAGGTCTTCGCCTGCTCTGCCGGATCTGGGCACGTGTGTAGATGATTATTTGTGTGGATGAAGTACAGGTTCAGTTCTCTCCTACCTTAGGAAACCAGGGAAGTTGGCAATCTCAAAACAATAAAAACACAGGTATGCATTCAAACCTTGCATAAATAACTTTTAAACAATTTGTACAAAAATAGTTCTGCATAATGTAAGATGTAACAAAACCAAACAAACAAAAAATGTCACGACTGCAGCAGATGTGGCGTGTGGTCCGCTGAATGTCGACACCGACCCCCGGAGCTGCAAGGAACAAGGTGTCCAAAACGAAAACACCACCACCCACGAAACTCCTAAGCTCATGCTTCAGTAAGAGAATTTCTTCGAAGTCTGTCCTCCTCTCCAGCAGGAATGTCTTCTTGGTAAAGGCCGCCTTTAGAAATGGTCCAGGAAGCGGTGCGGTTATAATTCGGAGAGACTGAAGGGGGAGTGTCCAGTTCGCCCCTCCCCCAAACAGGAGCCAGGACGGCTTCTCCCTCAGCAAGACTTGCAGAATGGAATCGTGGGGTCTGTTGTTTCAAGTTCCAAATTGAAAATAAAAGCCCTAGTTTCTGTAAAGTTTTTTCCCCTCCCCTGCCATGATCCCTCCCCCTCCCCACCCCTTATTTACATACTTGTCCTTGGACTAACTCAGTTTCTGTAGGAGTTTTTCTTCCACTTGCCCAAACTGGACACTCACAGACATTTCAGCTATGAACTGCTCACAGCCTTCCTTGGTAACCTGCTTGCAGTACCTCAGGTCAATATGACAGATGTTTCCACAGCGTTTGAAGAAGGACAGGCACTGGTCAGTAACCTTATTGCAGTCTGCAGGGGAGAGGAGACAACATGAGGTGAAGGAAGTGCAGAGGCCAGAGGCCCCTCCCGCCCCCGCCAAACCCCAGCACCGAGCAATGAAGAAACAGGACAGAGCCCCTGAGCACTGTCCAGCCCCTGGTGCCCTTGGGAAAACTGCACTTGCTGGAAAGCTCTCATTAAACGGGGAATGGTTCCATCTACCAATTATAAAGGTTAATGTATGCTTGAAAAGCGTTCAGACTTGCAAGTGAAATCACTTCCAAGCTTACTGTTGCCTCTCTGTATAAAATAGGTCTCCTGTCCATGCTGTTTAACAAAGACAGGCTCACACAATATGTTAAATAGCTTGTTTTTCCCATCTAATTTATGGTTGATAAAATACCTCCCTATCTACGTGATGGTGCACTTATCTGCTCCCCCCCCTGCCCCCACACCGCTCCCCAAACTGATCCGTAGGGAATAAGCAAAGGGTGAGAGTGAGAACATCTGTATGTTCTCACTCTTGGCCCATACAGGCACTGGGGCTTTCAAGTGAGGCAGAGCAGGCTTGCGCGCCCCTTGCTAAATGCTTACCGGAAACCCGTGAAGACCAAGCTACTACCAAGGCTGGTGAGATTCTGCTGACAACGAGCAAACCCAGAATTCGGAGTCTTTCATCATGCCCTCACTTAGAGACACACTCTTCTGCCCCTGCTCTTGTGAATTTCTACTTTGCCTTTACCACCCTTTTTTGTTTTAGAGCTGCAGCCACAGTCGATTGGCCTCGGTGCCAGTTAGCAGCCAGGGGAGGCTCAGAGAGCGCCCCCACCCGGCAGGTAGATTTCCTTCATCTCAGTGGTGTTCAGCCTGAGCCCTCTGTCCTCACTAGCATCTGCACTTTCACTTCTCCATTCAGGTGAGTGGGAA